GTTTTCCGACCTCATTCCTGCACAATTGGTATCAGAGGGGGCGTCGAATACAAACCATGTGCAAATCTCCGAAACCATTTTTTCGTGAACAGTGCCTTTAAGGCTGCAAGGGCAGGGCGGTGCAATCGTAATAAGCCTGCTGAGGTGAAGCACAGGTGAGGAGGATACTTCGGCAGGTTTCTAAAAGAAGAACTCCATCAGGGAGCTGGGAGCTGATTCCAAGATGAGGCGACAGCTGTCCGCGTCACACTCTGGGCAGAGGATGAGGTTCGTCGGACAACAGGGAAGGTGAAGGTTGGGAATTTAATCAGATTGGAGGTGGTTTTAATCGAAGCGCAGAAGAAATACGGAGAGCACGGAATCAGGTGACTCACACGGTTCCTGAACACGGCGGCTGTTGATGGAAGAGTCACAGATGCACGGAAAACATACCATCATATTCAAGCAGAATAGGTATGCACTGAACTGTATCAAGCATCGCAGGATCAGGATGACTGCGCATTCTATTAGACTGACTATACGAGCGACCAGTCGGCACAAGATGGAGAAATCCGGTCCTGGGTTCTCACAGGAACACTTTGGCTTTGGCCAGAAGGGTCTTCAACGGATGGTATCTTCACAGCTAGACAAGTGATGAAGATGGAGAACTATTGAGAAGAACTTAGGTCCTGTTAAATAGCCTCCCTCGATCTGGAGAAGGTTTTCTTTCCGCCTCCTGCAACCAGTCCGAGCCCTCCAAAAACGAAATGTTCTGCAACACTTGATCTTCATTGTCAGGGAAATGTGCATTGCATCGAAGGCGATCATACGCTTCTGTCACCACCTAACAAAGGCAACAAACGTCACGACTGGGCTCACAACAATCAGCTCTGATCGCGTTAATCCCCCTGTTCACTTTGGATGTCATTACAAAAGAACTCATAGATGGGTCATGGGAGAACATTCTCGATTATTGAGGGTCATCACCTCTGACAGGAATCTTCTGAAGAGAAATCACAACGCTTCTCTTACATTCTACCTAGGATGCAATTTTGAAGCATTTTAGGAGAAGTTCGTTGTAGAGAATCACTTCACTGAGGTGGTGGTGGGCAACTAACTCTGTCTGAAAACACGCAGCTTCCTTTGTTAATTCGTCTAACTTCTTAGTAGTATATGGGCAAAGATTCCTATTCCAACCTTGAGTGGCGAGGGAGTTATGCAGACGTGACGCAGCATCAGCACTAACTTTCCGTAACTCCTAGAGAATCGTTTAGCTAAATTCTAAATAAAAACCGATCCTTGGAACATAACGAAGGTATACATTTTGATGCAAATGGCTGGGTTGACTTGTTGAAGTTCCCTACCCAGCTAAAACCCCAGTTCAGCTTCTTGAAAGTTCAACAGCTTTTCAGGAAAACATGCATCTTATGAGCCTGATGTGCCGGGTCTACAAGGCCCTCCAGGAGAACGTGGAGAATGCGGAACACCAGGCTTACCCGGCTATCCTGGACAGAGTGGACTTCCTGGAAAGATTGGGCCGAGAGGTCCGCCCGGGAACACTGGTCCGCCTGGTCCTCAAGGACCTACAGGTGCACCCGGCTCTTACGGACCACAAGGACCGCAAGGACAGATTGGCATCTGTCCAAAATATTGTGCCATTGATGGTGGCGCTTTCTTCGAGGACGATCAGAAATAACTTGTATGCTTGATGTTCGCCTTCTAGAATAAAGTGTTCTACAATGAGCTATTCAACGAAATCGATTTTGTCTTGCGCTGTGCAAACTGCAGTGATTTCTTCAAATTCCCTTGAAGTCGAGTGCTCAGCTGTGCTGGTTATGGACCATACTAAGTAAACCTGAGTTGTGCCTCAATCTGAAGAGTTTAATTTAGAAATATTTGAAAGATTGCAAAAAAATCTGTGGGATCGGTTTCCTTGAAACATTGCCTGGGTTTTTTGAAACGGTAAGGCAAAGAGAAAAAATCCGGAAGTGCGTTTCATGGCCTACAGGGAGGGACAAATCTTAATTGCTAGTACCCTTCCACAGACTCTCACCAGTTCTCCCACCTTTTTTAAC